CTACCATGGAGATAGCCCTTGAGGGTTGGATGACTACTTCAATGAGTGGCTAGATATCTACTTGAGGCTAGAGTAGCCCCTAAGTTTGCTTCCTAGACTTAGTGCTTTATATATTTTTGGGGATTTTCTTGTAATAAATGTTTTGATCTTAGATTTATATATATATCTTGTGATTTCTACTTGATGTGTATGGATTAATGCTTTCAATTGATTATCAATTTCTAACCATATGTCTATATATGCTAGAATGGATGATTTATGTGCTTTTCTCTAGATTTAGTGGAGTTTATGCATGTCTATGTGTATGGATGAAGTTAATCTAGAGATGGTCAAAACATAGTGCTTAATTGAACACTCTTGTAATTTATTTGATGGTTCACACTTGTTTCTTGATGGATTGTGCCACACCTTTAGCTTAATTAGTTTAATTTTCATGTCTTTAATGTAGATGTAGTGTAGTTGCTTTAGATTCATAGATAGATGGACAATCTATTCTTGTTCCTTGGTGTTCCATACTTATGAATGCAAAGGGTGTATGTTTATAGATAGTTGTGTGTATATAAATTGTGGTTTTATTGAATAGATTTTGGTCTCATTTGATAGGTTGTGCTTTCTATTTGATTGGCTATACAATCTATACTTATTTGCCATCCATGCCTAGTTTCAATTAATGTCACACACACACACAAGTTACAATTCAATTTCCCCATTGATATACAATTGCTAGTGTCTAGTGAAGTCAAGCTTAATGGTGAGCTCTAGTACCCCAAGTCTTCTCCTCTATATCTTTTTCCCTACTTTCTAAATTGTTACTTTTACTTGCTTTAATTTCAATTGCATTATAGTTTAATCAACCAAACAAATCATCTTTTGATCACTTGACCTACTAACCCTATATATTGTCTCCATTGCAAACATGCTCACAATCCCTTGGGACGATCCCTACTCACCCTAGCTATATTTTTAGTTGGAGGTAGTAGTGACTTTTATAAATTTAAAACTTGGCCACATTGCACACTCACTTTCTTAGTACAATTTTTAAACATTGGTGCCGCGACAACCACCAAGTTTTTGGCGTCGTTGCTGGGATTTGAATTGGCAACGCCGTGTTTTGGAAACAAATAAGAATTAGTACTCTTTTAATCATGTCTTTACTTTACTTTATTTTTGTTACTTATTGTGTTTGTTCTTGATTGGCTAGGTGCATTGAGCTAAGAGAGTCAAATAAAGGGAATTAAAGAATAAAGAAAGCAAGGAAGCCAAGTGAAGCTAAGCAAAAGCATAAAGGGCTAAAATCTAAAATTTACAAAGCATAGCAAAGCTTGAAAATTGAAAATGAATTGAAGTTGCTTAAGGACCCTTTGTGAGATCTTTCTAACTCAATCTATAGTTAAATCGTCGGCTCGCGTGGTGGCAAGTTTTTCATTTCATAGATAGCTCGTGAGCCCGCGTGGAGGCAATTTACTTTTTCTAAGTATGTTGTTCAAACATGGGAGTATGGAATCATTGTATGTGGAGATTTGCTGATTGATTTGTTATGGGGGTGAAGTGATTGTTATTTGATTAATTACTTGTTATTTGTTTTGCTAGTGCATGCATGGTCGTAGGTCATTAAATCCTACTCTTGTCCCTTCTAATTTGCATCTTGAATCGATTGTTCGTAATCCTAGGGGAAGAGGCAGCTCTCATCACTCCATTTCACCAATAGAGGAATTGAATGACGACCATGTGGAGGACCTTGGTCACATAGACCAACAAGGCATCCTCCACCCTAATGTGCATCATGAAAATATTCAAGTACCATTGGGCATGCCAAGACCATTCATCCCACCACAACAATAAGGCCAAATTCTATTGGGAATGCCTCGGCCAATTTTTGCTCCACAACCTCCCATTATGCAAGGCAACCATGGTGTTCGAGTAGCACTACCAATTGTGAATCCTCATATTGCTTTAAGAGACCATTATGTGCCTAATGAATGCAATGCACCTACATGCATTCAATTGCCCCCATTTAGAGCACATCACTATGAGATTAAACCATAAACTATTCAAATGCTTCCCAACTATCATGGACTTCCAAGTGAAGAACCCTATAAGTATTTGGATGAGTTTCTTAAAGTGTGTTCCACCGTAAAATACACGGACATGCGAGAAGAAGTTTTAAGACTCAAACTTTTTCCTTTTACCCTTAAAGATAAGGTGATGAGCGCTAAAAAGTGCGTATTTAAACCCCTTAAGCTTAGGTATTCTAGGACCTTTATCTATCTTACTTTCCCATTTTAGACTAGTTTCATGTTATTGCCCTTTTTAGGTGCTTATCCCCAAAATAAGCTAATTCAGCTAAATAAGAGCTTAAAAGAAGCAGATTGAAGCAAAGTGTGGAAATTCAGTAGGTTCGATCGACCTCAAGAATACTTCGATCGATCGAAAGTTCATCGATCTAGACTCTCCAAGATGGATCCAAGCTCTTTTATCCTTATCCAAAGATCCCACAAAGTTCGATTGATCCAACAATTCTCAGATCGATCGAAAAGATTCCTATTTTTGTCTTAATATATCTTATTTTGTACTTATGTATTGGGTATTATTAGGATTTGTGATTTTAAATTGAACATTATATGTTATTATCCTATATTGGATAATTTTAATATTTGTGAAATAATTGAATTGCATACATATTTAAGGTTTTTTTTGTACTAATGAAAAAATTTAAAATAAAAATAAAATAATTAAAAAATATTATGTAAATTTGTAACAAATATGTATTATTAAACACTGTTATTATTTTTACTTTCAAAATTGTGACAACAATAAGCGTTAATAAACGTTATTTATTTATTTATTTTTTGTATTTTCACTCAAGAAAATAACATTGTTATTATTATTATTTTTATTTTTCACAAACGAAGAGAAGAGGGACTCGAACGCGAGTACACTTGCTCAAGGAGCTGAACGCTCTACCAACTAGGATAATACCCTAATTTTCACTCATTCTTAGAGTTCGTTGTTACCTAGTAGGTAATTTTTGGAGGGTTTTACTTTTACGATAAATAGTTGTAATGCTCATACTTTGTGGTAGCTTTTCTCATTAATAACATTTTGGGTTTGTTGGAACTAGTTCTATAATATATGATAATTTTTATAAATAATTTTAAAATATTCTCTAAATATATTACTAGCTCCTATTTTATAACACAAACAAGAAGTTGAAGATCAGGATTTTTCATTTTGCACGAGAGGTCTCCCATAAACCAACCATAAATTGGAACTAGGCTTGAGGTGAGCCAATTCTAGACATGCCAATACAGAGGTAGGTTCCCGTGAAACTCCAATGAGATTTTTGCGGCAACCAAGTCCAGATCCCTCTGCTCAATTTTCTATTATATAGCCTATATAAATACTTCAAATTGACTTCAGAGCAAAAGTGAATGGGGAAATAAAACACTACTGATTTTGAGAATCTTATACAGAACTTGCAATAATGATCTTTATGTGAATTACAAATCATAAAGGTGAAGGTAAAAGGCAATCCATATTACCCAAGGTAATCTTGACCAATAGCACATAATATAAAGGGTTAATTACAACGACACTGACTGAAGTTTGCCATATTAACAGCCATTTACACCTTAGCCCTTTTTTGAATAAAGACACCCCCTATAAAAATTTTGTTCCAAACAAGCCCTTAAAATATTGTAAAAGATGAGATTGCCTTTCGATGTTTAATTCATTTTTATAATAAAATATCAGAATTCATGAAAAGTCAACTTTGCCCTTATATATATACACTATTACATCTTACCACCCGCCATCCCTACACCACCGTAAGTTCCACCTTTCCACAACCTCACTGCCTCCTTCCTCCCCATTCTTCAATCACCATCACCTAATCCAAGATAACCTAAGAAAAACCCACCAATTCGATTTCACCCACACCATTCATCACTCACTACCTAGGGTTTCCAATAAAAACCCTTTCTTTATCTTTCAGAAACATAATCGACAGTGAACTGCGATGATGAACGACGACTGGTTAGAATTGGCTATGGACAATTCGCGGCAGAGAGCACGGAACAGCAATGGACGAGCGGCGGGACAGTGATGGGCTTAGTACGACTGTGGGGAAATCGGCCGATTTGGCCATGAATGACTCGTGGCGGTGAGCTTGGGGCTTTGCTCAGAACGGTGAGGTCGGCTGAGATAGAGTGACGGCATCGGACTGTGTTCGCGGCTGTGATTTATCGGCTGTGATGGACGGCGCGTGGCTCAGCCGATGGAGGGTTCGATTATGAGAGGAAATGCTGCGTGAAATCGGGGGGCAAGAATTGACCGGCTGGCTTCACCGATTTTGACCGAAGCGGCGGAAAGCTCAGAACAGAGGACTCGCTTGTGATGCGGCAGCTGATGGCGAGCTTGTGGCTTCAGATGATAGCGGCGGCGAGCTCGACGGTGGAGGGCTTAGCCGTGATGGGCGATGACAAAGAGCTCGGATTCTGGCAAGCAAACTAAGACGGCCAGAGAGGAAGATCTGGCGGCGGTGGAATAGCGATGCAGAGAAGAGTCCGATGAGGAAGAAGATGGGCTCGACTGAGGATGTTATGTCCAGTGAGCAAAGACGGCAAGAATCCTTGAACATTGGCAGTAGGTTCTGTGCATTGTGGGTTTGATAGGGTGGTGGTGGGTTCATTTAGGAGTGGATGGTGGTGGCTGTTGGTTTAGTTTATTAGTAGGGTATTTTGGTCAATAAAAAATAATTGTATTGGATAAATTGGTAATTGAATGTATCAAGGAACAATAATGTCAATTCACCAGCATTAGGATGTCTTTGTTAGCTTTATCAAACCTAAGGGGGTGTCTTTGTTTAAAAAAGGGTTAAGTTGTATATGATTATCAATATGACAAACCTCAGGGGGTGTCGTTGTAATTAACCCTAATATAAAGGAACAAAGGCATACTACTGATCATCTAAATGATTGCATACCTCAACATATCGATATCTACTGATTATGATAAGAAAACATGGCGTAGAAGGTCTGCAAAAAGGTTAGGAGAAAAAGGAGAACTGCACCAATGACTGACACACGTATCGATCCATATATTACCAAAATAAAAATGCAGCAACTTCCGATAACTTACTCGCGCAGGTGTGCAGAAGTCCTTCACCTCCATCAAAAGCCCACTATATTTAAAACGATGTGGTACAACACATTTGCAAATATTGTTGAAGATATGGAGCACCGCTTCTCTTGAACCCAAACCATTATGTATGATTCCTGCTTCTTCAAGCAATTCGACATCATCAATGGTGTCAATGAGAATATCCATGAGGAAAGCATGCAATAAGAAATTGCTTGAAAACTGAGGGCAACGTTGTTCAAAAGCAATGAGGTTTCTCAAGAATGGCTCAGTGGATTCGTTAATGGAGAAGGGTGGGATTTCAATCTGACCTTTTTGCCTCAAATGAAAACAACGAGGAGCAGTACTGAACTTCAAGTCGTGTAGGGCTCGTTTTGCAACTGCCTTCAACTTGACTCCTGCAACGTCAAGTTTTGTAGCAGAATAATTGAATCCGGATACCTTGCTGTTTCTTTGCTCCAGCGGTGTCTCGCCGTCTCCTTCGTCATTAGTACTTGCAGACGTGAAGCGCATGTGAAGAAGATGGTGTATATGATAAGGATGTCTAGATCCATGAAAACTGTATTCTTCTTCTGTTGTTCTTGTATCTTCTAGGGCTATCATATTTCCAAAGAACAAAAGGATACATTGAGTAAGAGTAGGAATCGGAAGCGAGCGTTCACCAGGAAATGACGGCAATCTCTGGAGGCATTTCACCGTCTTTTGGAATAATCCTTCAAGAACAAAGAAGGGAATCTGATCCTTGAGCAATAGCAAGTCACGGTGGACTGCATTGTAACAAAATGGGGTCTTGTGTCTTTCGGTAATTCCTGTATAGAAGCTCAATTATGAAGCACGCATCAATAAGCATTATTTCTGAAAGCCCGACATTTTCTTCTAGTTTCACTTTTGCAAAGGATCTCCTGATATCGTCATCCATCGATCTTATAGCATACACACAATCACGTAGTGCTCGCTTAAATCCTCTAGTACCTCGGTCAAGTAAGAAATACATGTAGCTGAGTTTGATGTCCTCCATTGCTTGCAGATGCGTCTTGTCTCTGTGAAGAGGCCCAATTGATACGGTGACGGGGGTATATACGTCTTCATTTTGTTTACGAAGAAGATCAGGGACCCTGTGCATGACGGGGATCCATGGCTCGGAAACCCCAAAATGCTTGAGAGCATTTATGTTGTAAAAAACTCCTCCATCATATTTGTGGCCCATTTTTTTTATTATGGAAATAAAAAACTCGTCCTTCGTCTCTACCTCTGGCACCTCCATCAGCTATCTCTACCTTAATTACTAGCTTTAGGTTTGTGTAGACGTCGATGAATTTTGGGATCCAACAGAGCCAGAACATCTCTATTTCATACTTATAAATAGATTCGCTACTCATCACAAAAACTAATTAGTCAAGTTGACTAAAATACACGGGACACCAATAGGAACGTTACTAATCTTATCATGTGGGTCAAAGCACTCACGGATGCAAGAAAGGGAGTAGGTTGTGGGAATACAAGTCATGGATACTTTCCTCCAATCAAAACAATTTTATTGTATGAGAAATTTTTATTGACCAAAACATAACAACGTACAATTCCAATTTTATTTTTTTTTTAATTGCAAAGGCACAAGTTATTAATGACAGCACATATATAATAGTTAAATTAAAAAAAGACATACAAATAATGAAGCAAAAAAAAAATAAAAAAATAAAGAATAAATTCTAAATTTGTTGAAAACGAGAATGAAAGCTTTGGCCGGAAACCGCCGTAAAGAAAAGTAACAACAAAAATGACTCAAAGACAGCTCCAACTCATTCAACATTGTCATATGTTAGGTGAAACTTCAAAATCAAATTAACTTTCTCCGAAAATGGTAGATGTCATATGTGATGTGTTAGGGGAAACTTTAAAAGCAAACTAATAAGTCCAACTTATAGGATTGGAGAACATCACATGCTAAGTACTGCCTCTCTGCACATGACTTTAAATGTTATTCAAGTCCAATGTGAAAACAAACAATAGTAGAAGGGATGTTAGGGAGCATTGACATAATAGTGGATCTGTCCGCCAACGAGATGAGTAAAACCAGATTTTTACATATATATATATATATTTATGGTAAAAAAACCAAATGAACAGCTACTACTAAAGTAAGAACGCTAATATTATGTACACAGCATAGAGGTTCATTATAGAGAGACTGGCAAGTTCAGAGTTGAGACGAGAATAGAGATGGAGGCGGAACACTTGGAACAAGTTTTTTTTGTTCCAACATTTGGCCCAAACAGTGCAAAGTGTTCTGATACTGTTCAAACCAGCACAACCTACGCCAAACATGTTTTGTTCCTCAATAATGCTCAATAGCGCTAATATTATGTTTAAATCACACCCTTATAATACGAAAAATATGAGCAAACAAGGACTTTTGATCCTAAAAAGTGGAGCTGATGAGTGCTGAATTTGCACATGCAAGCTCTTAAGGTTACATATGTTAAAACCTTAGTGATATTTATGTATTAGTACTTATGTCAAAATATTTACCAGTTACCACATCATATATATATTTTATTGATGAAAAGCTAGCATTTTAGAATTATTTGGAAAAAAAAATTGCTTGGATTTAATTTGACACGAAGGTTAAAAACTGATCTTACTTACTATTGAATTCTTAATTGTTTTGATGTTATGAAAGTAAAAACGATATAATTAACTAACAAACCAAATGTCTTTTGCCAGAGGAAAATGAGTCCCGGATTGTCCAAGAAGCTTATGGACCTTTTTGTGTTGAAAAGTCCAAATCCTCCAACAAGTCTTGTTCACAATTATCTGTAAATGGAAACTTTCCTTGTGGATGGAACTTGGGAAACAAGTCTTGTTTATTTAGGATTGCCTTAAAAAAACAAACCTCTTATATATCTAATTATTAAATTCCATATAATATCAAATTCTAAAAAAAAAGGTTTCAATTTTCTCCTTGGTTTACCAATTCATGGTCGTGTTTTTACTGAATTACATAATACAATTAATTCATAGCTAGAAACCCATAATTTTTTTTTTTTTTTTTTTTTTCTCTCATTGCAAAGCCACAAAGACCAAGTCATCAATGACAATACATAAGCAATGGTCAAGTTAGAAAAAAAACTTACAAATCATGAAGCAAGATAAAAAATAAAAATTAAAAAAATTAAAAAAAATTAAAAAAATTAAAAAAAAAAAAAAAATTCTGAAAATCAGGCTCCAAATTTGTTAAGAATGAGAGTCAAAACTTTGCAACGGAAATCACTGAAAAAGAAAAGCAACAACAGAAATGACTCAAAGACTTAATGATCATCAACGGCTCCAATTCATTGTAGATTGTTATATGTTTGGTGAAGCTTCAAAATCAAATTAACATTCTCCAACAAGGTTGATGCCATATGTGATATGTCAGGTGAAACTTCAAAATCAAATTAACTTTCCCCGAAAATGGTAGATGCCATATGTGATGGGTTAGGTGAAACTTTAAAAGCAAACAAATAAGTCCAACTCATAGGATTGGAGAACATCACATGCTAAGGGCCTGTTTGGAGTTTGTAGTGTGGTGTAGTGTAGTGTTCTAGCCTAGAACAGAACAAGTGTTGTGTGGTGTAGTGTTTTGAGAGGAGAGCAAAACATGTTTGGCGACAAAAATTTGCTCTGAGAATTTTGAAATAGAAATTATTATAATTTTTTTTAATGATTAAAATAAATTAATTACTTCCCTTGATTAGTTTGCAAAACAAGAATTACAGAGCTTAATTAGTTGATTTAGAAAAAAAATTAAAACAAAAACCATACACCACACAGAATTGCAGCTGCAGAGACAGAGAGACTAGGGCAATTGGGAGGCTGAAATGATTTGCCCTAAAAAAAAAGGGGAAGTCTAGCGTTGATCATTAATTAGTCACAGGAATCCTAGAGTTGGCTTCATCTTCAAAAAAATTTCGTATCAGAGAACAAAAATGGCAACCGTCTCCTCTGCCTCTCCTTGCTCCTTCCCCCACCAATCGCAACCATCTTGTCCTAGGTCGAAAAGCCAAACGTGACGGTTTCTTCTCTCTCACCGAAACCACCATCTACCTCCTCCAACCGCCCAATCAACAAAACCCCAAACCAAACACTCCAATTTTCATTCCCTGGTTGGTTAGGGTTGAAGAGATCGAAAATGGCAAAAACCGTGCCCTACATCCCGTCTCTCAAAGGAAAATACCCAAAAAGGTTTCCAAAACAACTCAATTTGCTACATATGGTGTTGGGTATCAAAAGTTTGCAGTTGCAGAGAGAGATCGAAAGAGAGACTAGGGCAAGTTCAACATTGAGAATCCAGATCCGGCCATGAGCTATGAGGATCCGGTGGAGACGACTGGTTTGGCGCCGGCGAAGAGGGAGAGAGAGAATAGAGATGGAGGCATTTAGGAGGCTGAATGATTTGCCCTAAAAAAAATTAAAACAAAACCCCTACAGGTTTGCAGTTGGAGAGAGAAAGAGAGAGAGACTGGCAAGTTCAGAGTTGAGACGAGAATAGAGATAGAGGCGGAACACTTGGAACAAGTTTTTTTTATTCCAACATTTGGCCCAAATAGTGCAAAGTGTTCTGATACTGTTCAAACCAGCACAACCTACGCCAAACATGTTTTGTTCCTCAATAATGCTCAATAGTGCTACTGTAGCATTGTTGGGAACAATACACCACACCACAGAACAAAACTCAAACAGGCCCTAAGCACTGCCTCTTTGCATATGACTTTAAATGTTATTCAAGTCGATCCAATGTGAAAACAAACAATAGTTGTAGGGATGTTAGGGAGCATTGACATAATGGTGGATCCGTCCGCCAACGAGATGAGTAAAAATTGGAGCATTGACATAATGGTGGATCTGTCCGCCAACGAGATGAGTAAAACCAAATTTTTACATGTACATATATTTATGGTAAAAACCCAGATGAACAGCTACTAGTAAAGTAACTAAAAAATTCGAACACTAATATTATGTACACAGCATAGAGGTCCATTATAAGTAAAAGCATGCCATCTGTATGGGGTGTGAAGTGTAAAAAAAACTTGGTAATTTGAAAAGTGTGCAAATAACATATTTTATGTTCAAATCACACTCTTATGGTATGAAAAATAAGTAAATAAAGACTTCTGACCCTAACAAGTGGAGCTAATGAGTGCTTAATGTTGCACATGCAAGCTCTTAAGGTTACATACATTAATACCTCAGTGATATTTATGTACTAGTACTTATGTCACTTATTTGGTTTCGGTTATTTTCAAGTACTTGTCTTTAAAACTGGCCAATTCTACCTATTTCGTGTCTTTAATGATGTTTTCAAGGATCAGGAAAGGCACTGATGTGTTCAGGGATGATTCCAGGCTTAAGGAGGATAAGAAGCTGAAATTAATGAAGTTTTGATCTATCCTAGCTTTCTATGATCGATCTTAATTAGGGGTGGCAATTCGTGTTTGCGGATTGTAATCGTATCATATCGACTTAAGGGTATTCTACTAAATAATTCAACCTAAACACGACCCGTTTAATAATCGTGTCAGGAACCCTCAACACTAACCTAATTGACCTGTTTATTAAATGGGTTACACGTGTAACCCGTTTAATGACCTATTTAATACTCCCTCCGTCCCGCAAAGAGTGTCGCTTATGGGGAATACAACTTTTTAAGAGTGTTATTTTTTATAATTTTTTTTATAGTAGTATGAGATGAATTTCCTAATATGCCCTTGTAGCAATTTATGGGTGGTACAAAAGTTGTTTGTCTTGACCCAATTTAAATTTGAATTGCGGGGTCCACAATAGCTTTTTTTAGAAGTTTTAATAACTTCTATAATTTCAAGACAAAGGGTATATTAGGAATATGCAAAAAATAGTGTATTGGTTTTTGAAGTATGACACTTATTTTGGAACAGTCAAAAAAGGAAAGTATGACACTTATTTTGGAACGGAGGGAATATAACGAAACATTATATTATTTAAATTATTAATAATACTCAATTAAATATTAAATAATATAAAAATATAAGTTTCAATCCTACCAAATTACTAAATAATCTCTAATATACAAAAGAATAAATTATAAGATACAAGTTAAGATTACTTTTTTGGAACTTAAATAGATATTTGTTTATGAAACGTATAATTAAATGGGTTACACGGGTTGAACCCCTCAACCCAAACACGGAT